TAAATAGTTCTTTAAAAAATTGCTTACATAAAGCGCATTAAACATGATTTTCAGGAGGAACAAAGAACATTTCTTCAGATAGTAATGCATTACAAATAATATTAAATTAGTAGGTCGGCTGAAATATTCCTTGCTTATTTTTTTCAGTGTAAAAATTGTATATATTCTTGACAGAAAGTAGTAGACAGAAATTTTGTGTTAAGAGGGAACAGAAATTTCCAGAGGATGGTGATGAGTAGGATGGTACTGCTTTTAAGATTACCTACCTGTCTTGCAGGAAATGGATCCTACATACTGTAGGAAGTAGTTTAAACCTCTGCATTCTTGTTTTGAAGGCATTTTATTTTTTCACATGTATGCATGGGGAGATTTCTGTGTCCCAAACTTAATTTTTTTTCTCTCTATCTAAGGTATAGGTAAAATTGGAATATAATAAGGCATGCTTGTTTCTCAAGTACGGTTTGTTTAAAAGAATTAAAATTGTATGTATGTCTATGTAGATAACATGTATACCTAGCATTAGCTGTGTATGCTCTTACTTATTTTTTCTCTCTACACCTGATGCATAACTGTCTTTTAAACAAGCTCACTCGGTCTTTGAGAAGGTATATTAGTAGTAACAATGGGGGAATGTGACTTGTAGAGGACTTTGAGAGTCAACTCCTCTTTAATTATGGGCTCTTACATTTAAAAATGCATTTCTGGAACACATCAAGCTTTCTTTTAAAACTAGTTAAATTGTGTCCGCTCTGCTTCCTTGGAAGGCTATGTGAGTGCCTCAGGTCTTGAATGACTAAAATTATCTGTCCCTTCTTCCTCCAGAGCCTTGCCCTTTCTAGAGAAATAATTCCTTACTCTATGGAGAAGTTAATAAGTAGCTAAAGTACTTCAGCTGAAACAACTAGAGACAGAAAATAAAAATGTCAAATTAATTTAAAATACTTTGTGGATGATGTTTTTCTCACTTTCAGTCACATTTCTGTATTACAATTTCAGTCTGGTGTATATGGCTTTAAGCCTAATTTGTGTCTTTCACATTTTCACTAAAATAATGAACCTTTAAAGTGTTTTAAAAGAGACTTAAGTTATACCTTATAAAATCAGCAATTTGAGAGAGTTGGAGTCTGTGGCTTGATAATTGCTATTAAAGTCTTAACTGAATGAGATCTAAAAATCTGTACAATAGTTATTTCCTTGTAATAGTTAATATGATTTGATTCTTCATTATGTAACCCCCTCCCCAATGAAGCAGGAACCATGGGCTGTTACCTGTTTGTACAGTGTCTAAAAATGCACAACCTCTTAGACACTCCTTCAGTGAAGATGTACTTTCTGATTACAAAGATAATGGAGTGGAACATAAAAACCAGATAAACATGGAGTCAGTAATTTGAACTTTATAACTGTTGTCAGGAAACAATGTAGAATACAAAAGCTGCATTAATTCCAATGCATATTTTAATTTCAGGATACACCTAAATCAGGTACTAGCTGCAGTTCTCGGTGTTCAAGCTCCAGACAAGATTCTGAGAGCGCGAGGCCGGAATCAGAAACTGAAGATGTGCTGTGGGAGGACCTCTTACACTGTGCAGAGTGCCACTCTTCCTGTTCCAGTGAGACAGATGTAGAAAGCCCTCAAGTGAACCCATGTGTGAAGAAAGAGTACAGAGATGACCCATTTCATCAGGTTGGTATCCACCAATTTTGATTTTTACACTACACAGAAGTTCAGTATTATCAGCTTTATGTCAGGAGGCCTGGGAGAAAGAGCTCTGTATTAAATGAAAGTAACAAAGCCAAACTGATTTCATAGAATTAAAACAAGGAAAGTTTGATTTCTGCTACTTGGTCATTAATTTGTCAAATGCAGAGGATATGAGAATATACTGAAATAGCCTGTAGAATATTTGAATCTTAGTTCTAGTTCAGGACAAGTGATTGATTTAAATTTCCTCTGTGGTAGATGGTTCTGGGTATTTTGGGTTTTTTTTCTACCCCCCCCAGTGGAAGTACTTTTGTGAGCACATACCAGACATCTTTCTGTTTGTTTATATATAAATGTATGTATAAAAAAGCAAACAGAAAGACAACATACATAGTATCTGATGTTATATATAATGAATATATATGCTGTTGGATGTGCATTATGTATGTCTAAATTCTATTTAGATATAGTATTTTTATTTTTACCTTAAAACTAATAATTTTATTTTCCTTCTTTAATGCTATTCTGTAGCAACATATAGGCAGTAATTTCTGAAAATTTTCATGTTTTTTGGGCAACACTTCAGTTGCAGCCTGTTGGTCAGAATCTGTTGTTAATACTTGATCATTAACAATCAAGTATTCGTCTTCATTTGATAAAATCCGTTCAAATGTCACAGTGCCAGCTACATTTGTAGTACAAGTCTTATCTTTAAATTGCATTTTAATTGCATTGCTAATTTGACCTATTTAAGTAAAGACATGGAAAGAATGGGAAACATTCTTCTCGGTAAACAAGTCATATGTGTTGGTAGTGCATACATCAGTACTGAGGAATGCCATGCAAGAGACGGTGTTAATGCTAGCTAAGGAAAAGAATTTCAAAAGACAGGCATTTCACTCATAACCAGAACAGAAAATGATGTATTTTGTTTATTTTAAAAAACAACAACCCCCTTCCTCCCCACCCCGAGAAAAAAAAAAACCACCACCAAAAAGAGATAGCAGTTTGGATTTCATGCAGTCTTTGTTTTTATGGTTTGTTTTTACTACTTCTTGCTTACATTCAATATAAACACTAAAACAGAAGCCTTGCAATAAGGAGTTGAATTGCAGCATATGCATTGACTTTGTTTTTTTTTTTTTTGCAGTTGAGTGTTTTTCTGTTTGATTGTAGCTTGTGAATTTTTGAGTTTCAGCTCCTGGTGTTGATACTCCCTCTAGAGGAAGACTTTGGAAATCTGTGATAAAGAAAGTCCTGCAACTAATATTTGTGTTGCTTTAATAATATAAATCAATTTGTTTCATCCAATGGAGAAAAAAAAGGGAGATCATTGCGTACTTAGCAGAATACAAAGTTTTCAGATAAATACTGAAAAAGCAAGTAATAAAAATCTTTACTTTTAATCAATGATAAATTAAACTTCTAAAAATAATATCACCCCCCTCCTGCAGCACCACCACCACTTCCAGTAGTTTGATGCGCATAATGCTAGGTGACCAGGCAGAGTTGAGAGCAGTTTTAATCACTTGAACAGGAGAGGACTCAGACAGGGCTGAGGGAGTTCAAGAAATGGCCACAGCAGAACTTGTTGCCTCAACATTTTTCCAGATCCTTCATTTCTCAGTTGGCTGTCTGTTTAAAGGTGCCTCAGCCATAAATGCATTCAGTAGATGAGGCTGGGATTGCTTGGCTGTTGGAGCAGCGTGTATTGATTAGACTCCTACTGCATGCTCCGAGTCTTGCCAGATACAGTTAGCATAGGGGGACCTTTACCCTTAAGAAGGATTGTGAAGTACACAAATATCATTAAAAGCAAATAAAAAAAAATTGTTGGCCTTAGGCTCAACCCGAGAAGAGTGGTTTGCAGAATGTTAGGGGAAAAAAATAATAATCAGAAGAATAAAATACTCCATTAAACATGTGGCAAAATTAGAGATGGCTTATAAGTAGACCTTTGTTTTCATACCTCTCTTGTTTGATATGTCTGAGAAAAAACCAAGCCAATTAGCCCTTGACCACAATAACTCAACACTATTAGAAAAATGAAGCATGGGGAGGGAGAGATCTCTGTACTCACAGGTATTTCTTGGAAAAGAAGTGGATGATTTTGAGGAAGGTGGTTAAACACATAGTAGCATATAGTAGAAGTAAATGCTATTTAACAATAGTTGTGTCAGTCTAAAATGTCTTTTTGTCAGCATGTTGCTGACAAATGCATATTGACGTGACAAAAGATATTTATCTCTGATGGAATATATTCCTTGTCTTTCCCAGAGTCATTTGCCTTGGATCCACAGTTTGAATCCAGGACTAGAAAAAATAAGTGCAATTGTATGGGAGGGTAATGACTGCAAGAAAGCAGATATGTCCGTGCTTGAAATCAGTGGTATGATAATGAACAGAGTGAGTATTCATTTTACTTTATCCAATTATTGTATTTAGGAGTCTAAGCAATACCAAAAATAAGCTTGTTTTACGTTGTTTTTTTTCTTTTTTTTTTTAAGTATCTGTTACTGACATTGTTCCATGGCTTACATCACTCTGACAGAGTGATCACTAACAGATAAAAGAACTACCAGATGTTAAGTGTTGGTACAATAAAATGCGTTTCCATTACTAGGTGCTTATTAACATAGCCAACCTCTATTTTTATTGTTCCAAAGTGATGTTTATTGTGAATATTCTTATTTATCTCCTTGATTCTGGTACAGATCTGAATATTTAGATGGTAAAGATTGGAAAAGAAAGCTTTCCTTTTTAGGGAACGAACATCTAAGAGAGGGATGTCTCATACTCCTCCCTTCCTTTTCCTAGTACTCCTCTTCAGGAAACACTTGGAAAAGCATTTAATTGATGATGTACTCTTTTTCAATATAGACAATGTAGGCATTTTGTAGAGTTGAATGTAAAATCCTAGTATTGCTTAAGAAAACTATCACTAGTTCTGACAAGTTGATACTTACCATCTCCAACTTGTTAAAAAGCAACTTATTTACAAACTTAGTTCAGGTCTCTGTACCTGACTCAGAGAAGATACAGTCTGTGGGACAATCCACAGTAGAAGTAAACTTAAAGCCATAGCCAGCACGGTAGAACTCCAGTCCTGTCAGCACTGTGAACACTTTGATTCCTTTAAATAAACATACAATGTAAAAGCAAAAAACAAATAGGAGCAGCATACAGATGTAAGCAACACAGTCTGATTGGTGCACTTTGCTAATTCATCGTTGGATGAATTTTTAATAGAAGAATATGCACTGGAGTCTTTTAACTGCAATGTTATGTTGTTGGGTTTTGAAATGATTTGTCGTATTTGGTTCCTGTCCATTAAATGCTCTTCGAGGGCTTCCTTTTTCTTAATAGCAAATTGTGAATATGCTTGGTTGAAGGTTTCATATAACTTACCAGATTATAAGATTTCATATAACTTATCAGACTGTCTTACAAAGACAGTAACATTAATGATTTATTGATTTAATTCCAAATTAATTCCAAAATTAAAAATACACCTTATTTTCTTTTGGTTTTAGGTGAACAGCTATATACCAGGAATTGGTTACCAGATTTTTGGAAATGTCATATCTTTAATCTTGGGTTTAATGCCATTTGTCTTTCGACTTTCCCAAGCTAAAGATTTGGAACAACTAGCTACACATTCTGCCACTGAACTTTGTATGACTGCATTGGGATCAAATGGAGACATTCTGGTTCTCTCAATGGTTATTATAAGTTTTGTCGTCCGTGTGTCTCTAGTGTGGATTTTCTTTTTTCTGCTATGTGTAGCAGAGAGGACGTACAAACAGGTACGAACAGCAAACCAAGAGGCTTCATCCAAAGCAAAACATAGTTTATGTTTTCATTTTTTGACTTTGTGGATATTTTCAACTTGTTTTCTTCAGTGCACTATGATTCATAGATCAATGATGACAAATACTTCAGTGGGCTTACAGTTCAGGAGATGACTCAGTTGCAATGGTCTGAAGTCTCGGTACCATCTCTGTAGCTAAAGCTTTCTTCCTGGAGACCATTTCTGAGGGAAAACTTTTTAATCTTTTATTTCAGATTTCTGGCTGAGTACATTAACTCAGCTCATAGTTATGTCCCAGTTTGTCTCAGTTTTCCCCAAGGAGAAGGAGTTTCAATAAAAGAACTCTATAAATTTCCAATTTGTTCTACTAGTGTGTTTCATTCAAAATCTCCAGTTAAATTCAAAACAGTTCAGCCCAGACCTTAGTCAAGAGCCTTGCCTGATTTGCTGGTAGATTGGTCCCACAGCCGGAGACAGTGAGAGCTGCTTTCTGAAGTAATACACCTGTTAATTTATTGCTTGTTACTGCAAGTAAAATTTTAAAAGAGTATCGATATCCCTTACTAGCTGCAGAGTATATAGATAATGGTCTGCAAAAGAAAAGGTTTTGTACTTTCTTTTTTCAAATTATAGCCGAGAATGTGATTTAATAGAGCGGAATAGAATCAACCCGCTCCTAATAATAATTTCTGTTGGAAGGAACTTCTGTGATACAGGCACTTTCTGATGAAAATGATTGGCAGGTTTGATTCTCGCAGATTTTAATAGCATAGCAGATCTGTTGTCTGAAATTTCAAGAAAGGAAGTCAAAGTATAGCTAAATTTTGTTTTTCATTAGAGTAAGCCGACTTTGAAAACATTTTAGTGTCTCCTCTGTTTAGTAACTTGCTACTCTTATTTCTGCATTGTTAACATATTTTACTTTACATTGATACATTGTACATTACTTTGACATAGTAAGTGAAGTCTTGTCTCCATTTTCTTTTTAGTGCTCTTAAAAATCAATTGACAGTTAAAGGTGGTTTTTTTTCTTCTCTGCAGAGGTTACTGTTTGCCAAACTTTTTGGTCATCTAACGTCTGCCAGAAGGGCAAGAAAATCAGAGGTTCCTCATTTCCGTTTGAAGAAAGTACAGAATATAAAAATGTGGCTTTCTCTCAGGTCCTATCTAAAGGTAAAATATATTTTTGTTACTACTTTAGTATAAAATATCCCATGTGCTGTTGATGGAAGGTTGGTATTGTAGTCTGAATTTTTCCTCCTGTGCACTTATCCCTATTGGTGCATATCCTACACGCTTCATGTTGCTGTCTCTGGGCCAGCAGTGTGTGCAGGTAGCCAGGCTGTGAGAAAGTAAATGTCTAGTTTTTACCTTGGAGTAAAGTATGAGTGTGTTCAGAGTTGGAGTCTGGTGTTACTCATGCTAGCAGAAAAGTCTCTCAGGTGAATATGTTGGGGAAAAATGACCACTTGTAGTATAATACAGACAATACCTTATTGTAAGAGCCCCACCGGTTAGTGTCATGAATGCAGAAGGAATTTATGAAGCAAGACAGTTTACATATGTATTTGTGCTGGGAGTACATATGTGCCAGGTGAAGCTAGAAATTATCCCCAAGCATTATCTGTAAGGCATTCTGATCTCTCTACTCTATGTTCAAGTCATATTTGAGTAACCTCCTTATATATCTCTCACAATCTTTTCAAGCCAGAGCATTTTGATGATCGTTTGTGAAAAGGATCATATTATCTAACTCAGGGTTGGGTTTTTTTTTTGTTTTGCTTTGGGTTTTTTCCACCCCAAGTTTTTTCCATTTTTCTCTCTGCATTAAGTAATTCAGCTCAGATGAAGCTAGATTTTTTTCCTGCTTGGTTTCTACAGAACCAGGTTTTTTTGGTGAACAGTAACTGATAATCTCTTCAGTGGTGGTAATCCCTTTATTTGCATTTATGCTTCTTTCCAACAGCAATTAAGAAATGTTAGATGAACTCTGCTATCAATAGCTTTTAGAAGTAGATAAAGGATTATGAAAACACAAGTTATGGGGTGGAGACTGGGGAGTGTGGAAAGCAGAAACTAAAAGCAGACACAGTTTTTAGTGTAAAGCACAATCTTAAAGTTGAAAGATGCATCATTTTAAGAGGAATTGAGATGATTCAAGTACAGTACCCCTTGTGTTATGGAAGCATCTGTGGGGAGGTTGTAAAAGAGAGGTACCCTTTAAACTTCACACTTGAGAGATTTGTCTCTTTCTCCTTATCATATGTAATGTGTCGCTGGATGGGAGGAAAGGAAGATAACATCATTCGGACAATAGAAGGTAGTTCTGATGCTTTAAAGACTACATATGATAGCGGTGTTGTGGAGTGAGTGTCATGCCTTCTTTCCTCACAACCACATCTGTGTATTCCTCCTTATGCCACCAGAAACATTTGTATAATTATGTGGCAAAGAAGAAAGCAATCAGACAGTTGTCAGAGGCAGGTGCATAGGGAACTGACCCAACTGAAAAATAACCAGTCAAGAACAGTAATTTTCACCTCCATCTGTTGCTTGACTTGGTTCACTGGGCAGCTCCACAATACCTGTGCTAGCACGAGGGAAGGAATGGAGACAAGCAGCTAAGGAGCAGGCCTGCCTGTGTGCAGCAGTGCTGCTGGCAAGCACTGGCATAGCATCTGTCCAAACTACACTTGCACGTTACTTGGCTGTATACGTGTCCACCTGTGAAGACGTGAGCTGCGGTGTATACACATCTCAGGTCTTCCACAGGCAAAACACCCTCTCTCAGTACAGAAGTAGTGCATGCATACTGCAGTACCAATTTGCTTTTTTTTTTTTCTCCCCCATTAGTTAAGCTTCCTGTCTCTTTCTCCAAGTTCCAAGGTTATATCTTACATATGGACACCTCCCATTCTTCTCATGTTTATACAATTAGTAGCATGTCTGGAGAACAAAGTCAAAACATGTCTACTATAACTTGTACATGTTTCAGTGCAGCACAGAATGTTTAATTCTTTAATTAAAAAAAAAAAGAAAAAGATCAGTGGGTAGAAACATTTCATTGTACCAGTAAGCATGAAAAAAATGGTTCGTAACAGTGAGGTTACACCTTTCAAGACAAGTGTGTTTGTTCCCCAATCTTCCTTGCTGTTCTGTGGGAATTATGACACGTAAGAGACTTATTATTGCACACCACAACGGGACAGTGATTTACAGCTACAATTCTTGTGTGTCAGAAAGATGCAGGTAATGGAAAATACCAACCATGTGAAATCATATCTTGATATCCCATTGCGATCTGGTGTCCAAAAATCTTTTGTTAGCACTGGTTTGATAATGGGTGTTAAAGCCCAGTGCAGTATTGAATTTGTTATGCCAGGGAATGCTGCCTACATGAAAGTTAGTTTGCGTCATGAAGGAGCTGACTGAGCAAGCGGTGAATATTTTCTTTTCTTGTTGTTACCTTTAAATGCTTGCATCTGAATTAATCTCACATGGCTTTAGGGGTATTCAAATATAGTGATATCATTAGGTTCTAATATGGTGTTTGGAACTTAGATTGCCAAATTGTGAGCCATGATGAAATAAAGAAACAAGGTGTGAATCTAACTGGATGTACTAATATCAATGGTGATTGGGTAGGTTTTCTCTCACATATACATCTCTCCCTTATTTTCAGCGTCGAGGTCCTCAACGCTCGGTTGATGTCATAGTTTCATCTGCCTTCCTACTGACTATCTCAGTTGTGTTTATCTGTTGTGCACAGGTGAGGAAATCTTACTTGTCTAGAAACAGCCATGACTTAAATAGTTTCCAAATTAGAGTGCCTTTTGCACGGTGATTCCTATTAAGTAAAAAGACCACAATGAAAAATGAGTAACAGCTGTTACAGCTTTTCAGAAGATTAAGCTTCATTTATATTGTTCATTTTTAGAATATTATTCTGTAGGAGCTAAAGAAACTAATAGATAGCATAATTCCTAACATACTATTTTTTAAATCCTCTTTCATTTTCCATCATGGATTTTGTAGCACAGTGTTTTTTCTAACATTTGCATCAAAACATACTTTTGCAAAGACATTTGAGATTGACCTTGATTGAGGATCTTAGTGAGAAACAAAATTTTTGGCTGTATTAGCCTGCCCTCTAGTGGAGTATCTTTTAGTAAGCAAATTGTTTTAAGGATGACTTACTGCTTAAGATTTTTCCTGGAGCTTCAGTTTCAGAATACAGGGAAGCTTCTGAATGGCTTCTGGTTGTATTTTTTCCCCCACTTTCTTCCCTAGTTAATACTAATGTGTTTTCCTGGTAGCTAATTATAAATATTTTAATAAAAATATAATTTAGCAGTAACTCTGATTTCAATTTTCTATGTAATTCAGTACATTTGAGAATATATTTTGTTTTTCATCCCACGTAGTGTCTGTGCAAGTTTGAACATGAGTTTAAAATTGTCTTGGAGTGTGTATTTTTTTTGTATTCCTTTAGGGATACAAAAAAGAGATGTGTCTAAATGCTGATTGAGCCTTTCAGAGCATATGTTTTCTCAAACCTCATATCTTTGACACAATGTTGACTTTAAATTATGATTCAAAAATCTTTTATGTCTATAACCAATCTATATACTGGGAATTTTTTCTTGGAGTTTGGGAGACAAGTAATTATTTTCTTATGTTGTAATATAATTATTACTTTGAATTAAATTTTGATGTTTTTCCCCCTCTTTTGTTTTCAGCTGCTTCACATGCATGAGATCTTCCTTGATTGTCACTACAATTGGGAACTCATAATTTGGTGCATTTCACTAACTCTTTTCCTCTTAAGATTTATTACTCTTGGATCTGAAACCAGTAAAAAGTACAGCAATACCTCAATATTACTTACTGAACAGGTGAGAATTTGTGTAGACTTGTATGTTTGTATCTAAACAAGTCATCTGGTAGGACTCTGGCATGCATTTTAGATGTATTAAAATCATCTGGATTAGGGACTTAATTATGGTGTAGTGAAACAACACTTTTGAGCCTGAAGTTCAATTTCTGTGAGAAGTGTGTGACTGTTTAAAAGTTGTACGGAACATTGAGATGGCTGTATCCCAGTTTCTTTTTAAGTGAGCGTGCTTAGAGATATCAGTATGTGTCATTTGATAGAAATAAAGATCTAACAGAACACAAACATAAAAAGTAGCTTTTAAATAGGAAAAAGAAACTTGAACTCTCAAAGTGTTGGATGGGAGAGTAAAAGATTTGAAAACAACCTCACCCTTTACAAAGTTACTGTTTCCAGTCCAGTAATTTTGACTGCTAGGGTGCTTGGATTACATATAGTCTCCTCTAGACTCCTTGGAAACTTTCTCTTTCAGTCATCTGTCGAGCTTGACTTTGGGTCTACGTACTTTTCTTCTCAGGAATGTTCTAGTCGGCATTTGTACTACAAACTTCCCTCTCTGCTCTGCCTGGCACTGCTGATAGTTTTCTGAGCTGAGCATGTTCAGTTAGTGTTAGGTAAGAAGCAATCTTTCTTCTGCCCGGAGAGGTTTCACACTGGTGCAAAAGACAGCATTCAGGATAAGGTAAATAGGCAGTTCAAGAAATCTTCACAGGTTTACTGCAGGAAATGTGTTCAAGTTCGAGAATAAAATCTTCCAAACTGAGACTCCCAAAGTCAGCATGTGAAGCTTACGACAGGTGGTATAAATGACTGCGTACATATTTTGCTCAAAGAGAATTAATGTTGTCTTTACTAAAGATGCTGAGGCTAGACAGTGAGAAGACAGACTGCCTATTGACCTCGTTCTGAATGCTGTGTTTTGCACCAGTGGGAAAACTCTCAGAGTTCCTGAGTTTGGAGAGCTTTGCATTTATTCTATTGATCCTCAGAGTATGAATAGGCTAATGTCCCAGTGAAGTTTGTCCTCTGTTTCTGGAATGAAAATGGAGGGAAATGTTGGGTATGAGGATTGGAAAAAAACCGCATGGAGCAAGGCCAGAGAGAGAGAATGTCAAGCCTTTGTTTTGCTTTCATGGGTTTTTATACTATGCTCTTCATGAGAGTCAACATTTGAACATTTTGAGCCAGTGTGGACATTGAAAGGAACACTCTCTGTATGTCCCCAGAGTGCTGTGTCATCAGACATCTAGCTTTGTATTGAATCCAGCTTGTCTTGTTATAAGTCGTTTCCCTCAAAAAGGCCTGAGAGCTTTATGAAATGAAAACCAAAATAGAATTCACAATTGTTTCTCAGAAAATAAAGAAGTTACATGTCCCCCTGGATAGAGCTCATTTTGAACTGGTTTCACATATTAGCTGGATACCACAGCCTGTTTACAGTGTTCTTGAGAGAGACCTCATGAAAGTCTGACATTTTGGCCTTTCATGAGAGGCCAAGCCCAAACAATCGACTGACGCTCAGTTGATCTAAAAAAGCACATTTGAACTGGTGTCCTCGAAAATCACACACTAGTGTTATTAGGCTTACTGAGAGGAGAATGAAGCTTTAAAAGAAACAAAAAACACCACCAAAAAAAATGAAAGGACAAACAAGCTTCAACCCCCAGATTCAATTTAAATGCTTCATGGATAAGATGAAATTGGAAATTCTACTTTCTGTCAGCAAAGTTTGAGCCACTTCTGTGTGCTTTATATTCAACCTATGAATTTCATGATTAGGAGTCATGATGGGAAACTAAAAGATCCATCCTTTTACATCAAGGGATTTTTTGACTGTATGCTGTTTGCCTGTAATTTTTTTTTCAAGTCCTTCTGAAAGTATTTTTAATTGGTCTTGTAAATTAAGTGCCTCAGTGGTTCCTTGTTGAGTAAAATACAATGTATGGTCTGATCAAAGTTGTCATCTTGCTAGTTTCAAGTCTGAGAATAGATATGGTAGGTGGTTGGGCATATACACATTCAAACACCCCTCCTGATTCAAAATTTGTTACTGAATGTTTTTTTTTTTTTTTCATAAATTAGTAAAATCTTAGCAACTGTTAAAACAGATTTGAACCTTCCTGGGGTATATTACCTACCATTTTTATTCTTAGTTTATTCCTTTTTACAAACTCTTGAATTGTTGAAATCAATAATATTATATTTAAGGACTGGAATCTCTTTGCCACTAAAAGAATAATTTACTTTAAGATGAAATTGATAGTTTGGGAGCTTAACATGGCTTGGAATATATTAGGCATAACTTTTTATTTTTAACATGTATAAGAAACTGTCATGGTTTAACCCAGCCAGCAGCAAAAAACAACCATAGAGCCATTCATGTGCTCCTGCCCCCCTCACCCCACCACAGTGGTATGGGGGAGAGAATTGAAAAGAAAAAGGTAAAACTCAGGAGGTGAGATAAAAACTAGGACAGAAGAGTATAATAATGATAAAAGAATATACAAAACAAATGATAACCAGCACAATTGCTTACGAGCTGAAGCCAATGCTCAGATAGTTCCCGAGCTGCCCTGGCCTACGCTGCAGTTTACATATGGAATATGACATCATATGGTGTGGAATATCCTTTTGGCTAGTTTGGGTCAGTTGTCCTGGCCGTGTCCCCTCCCAGCTTCTTGGGTGCCTCCAGCCTTTTCGTTGGCAAGGCAGTATGAGAAGCTGAACAGCCCCTGCCTGTTTGGCCACAACTGAAAACATCAGTGTGTTATCAACATTATTCTCATCCTAAATCTGAAACACAGCACTGTACCAGCTGCTAAGAACATTAACTCTATCCCAGCCGAAACCAGTACAGAAACTTACAGTGACATTTTTAGGGAGATTTGATAACATTCAGTTACTTTGTTTAGATGTCTGTGGTCATTATTTCAATAACGACCTTACAAGAAGGTGGTTAAATGTATCATAGCATCATATAGCATCACTTTCTTTCAGCAACTTCACTTCTGTAGCTTGGTAGGAGTCTCTGTTACCTGAAGGACTACTTCAGCATATTGCTAAATTGTTCATTTTTTATCTTGTTGAAGGTTGTCATCCTAAAAAGTTCAGAAGAAAGAACATAAAAAGTTCATGGCTTATCAAGATATTTTTCCTTCGATTTACTTTTGCTATGCAATAAACCCCCTAACTTTTGGCTGGTCTAAGATATCAAAGATAGGCCTTTTGAGAATGAAAGCTGATGTTCAGAATTGCCAGAAGGCCAAAAGAGGGCTAATTTGTATTCTTAACTAAACTTTCTCAGAAACAATGACCTAAAAAAGTCTGGATCACAGAAGTCTTGACAGGATCATAAAATCATAGAATGGTTTGGGTGGGAAGGGACCTCAAAGATCATCTAGTTCCAACCCCCCTGCCATGGGCAGGGACACCCTCCCCTAGACCAAGCTGCCCAACGGCCCACACA